ATCTAATGTATAATATCTATGTATTAAATTAGATATTTAATCTGATTAGCTGTTTTGCTCATTTGTTGGTGTGTATGTGTATATTTATATTTGTGCATATTTTAATTCAGTGAAAGAACCCTCTGATTTATACTGTGAATGCAAGCAGTTAATACTAGATTAAATAACAGGTAATTTAATTAGGCTCACAGTCTTATCTATATGCTCCTTATAACTCCATTGATTTGCTTTATTTAAAATGTTTCCTGAAATATACAGTAAGAGAAACTTAAATTTTGCCACCTTGGGAATCCAGATGGAGCCACATGAATGGTAATAACTCAAATTTCTGGCTTTGCTAATTATGTGGAATCCCCAGGCCACAGAGAAGTAGCCACAAATACTTTGGGAAGTTGCTGAGTATCTCCTATGAACCCCCAGCTAGTCTTCCAGTTGTAGTCAGCCTATGATATCTGCAGTATCCGTCCTTACCAGCTCTCGTCCCCATGTGGAGCATCTCTTCTCTCTGAGCCACTGGAGAGGTCCCACCCCTGCCACTGCTGACCGGTACCATGTGAGGATGCCCACGTCCTTGGTAGGGATGATGCCTCTTGGTGGTCCTCCCTGAGGTGCCAGTCCTCATGGTGTTGCAATAGTGGTGGGCTCAGTAGGGAAGCATAAAGTCTTTTTTGTGACTCAGCTGGTTCCGTGGGGCAGCTGGGGAAGGGGAAATTGGAGGACGTAATTTACTTGGAAGCCATCTGGAAAACAGTGAGTTCAGCTTTTGCCACAAAGGCTCAAAAACAAAATGTCCTCTAAGGTAGGTTGACACAATTTTACCACCTTATTTCTCCTGTTTGGCCTTGGATCACTTTTCTCCAGGCATGTGCTGCACCGTTCTACTCCTTATTCAAAAAATAAAATGTTAGATCATACATAAAGCCCTGGCTGAATCTGGGAAATCAATATGCTCCATCAGATACTCCCCATAACAGAGAATAATCTTTAGGTTCAGTTGCATTCAGAATCACAAAAGTAGTAATGAAAGTAAAAAGTATATAATGTCCTCCCAAATAGATTTAAGGTAATAATAAAAAAGTCAAATACTTGGACAAGGCTAATGATGAAAGACAACGCTCTACGTTCCTTTCCCTCCTCTGCCCCCATTTTCCACTGCCCAAAGCAATCACTTTCAACTTTTGGAATTTTTTCCCGTTGCTTAACTTCATATATCTAAATAATATGCTTATAGTGTCAACTCTTATTTTTTCAGTTTTGTGCATCATATGCTAACTTCTCACTGTCAACAACAGGAATGTACCTGTCACTTCCTTCTCATCACACCTTGCAGAAGTGCACCTGTCTTTCCCCCATCTTCCAAAATACTCATATGATTTCTGCTTGTATCAGTATTTTGTGTTTACATTATTTTGATTATGTAACTATTCCCAGTTGTGCTTGTGTAATGATGTGAATTTTTTTTAGTGCCTATCTTTGTGTTTTACCTCAATTAATTTCTTCTTTTTTACTTTAGCTTAGTTTTCTGTGTGTCTATTACTAATTTGACCTTCAACTCCTGCTAGAAAAATAAATATCCTCTTATTGTATTTTAAACTCATTAGATCATCTTTCAGTTCCATCTTCTTGAGTCACTTTTCTCCAAGTGATATGTCCTGTCCCAGTCTGAGTTGGCTGCTGTTTCAGTCTGTTGCACAGTTTTTGTTCTGGAATATCCCTTCACCATCATTTTTGAATTTCTGTATCTCACATTGTACCCTTGTTTCCTTGACTTAATGTGCTCTTTTTAGTCCCTCCCCTGCCACACTCCCACCCCCTTAATATGAACATATCTGACAGAAAGGAAGCAGGGAATGTAACTTGTTTAGGATCTGGCATGACCGAACATGTCTGTTATATCCACTCCCTTGGTTGAAATTTTGCCGCGTATATAGAATTCTAGGATTCTAGAATTTTGAAAACTCTCAGAATTTTGAAGTTACAGCCCCATTTGGGAGAAGAAACTGGAGGATGCTCTATATTTTCACTGTATGTAAATTTACATAATCCTTCTAGTTTCCCCCAGAGTACTTCTCTTTCTGTTGGGCCTGATATCCACAGTCCACAATCCTTTTGGCTTAGGATCTCCTAAGGAGAAGACAAGGCGATCTGTAGTCTCAGTGCTTCATAAACGTACTTTGAAGCGATCCTGCTGAAATCACACAGTCCACAATCCTTTTGGCTTAGGATCTCCTAAGGAGAAGACAAGGCGATCTGTAGTCTAAGTGCTTCATAAACGTACTTTGAAGCGATCCTGCTGAAATCCGTCCCTCTCACTCCACTTAGAGATGTTTGTGGTGCCACCACTACTACTCGAGTCACTGGTGTCATACCTCACGAGATGGTTGCTTCTCAGTTTCCCCCCTGCTGTTAACCTGCAAATTTCTTACGTTTGCTAAGTCAGTTACCACTATTAAGCCACATCTCACTTCTCCTATTCTATCCTTATTGCCTCCTCTCTGTAAGTGGTGGTGTCTGCCTTTTTTTAAATTAATTTCTTTATTGTTGTTATTGTGGAAAAGTAATTTGTGTATTCAATCTGCCTAGCCATCTTAAGCAGAAACTCAGTATAGCTTTGTCTGCTTAATTTTTTGTTTTGAAAAATTTCAAAGCTGCAGACAGAATATGTTCATGAATAGTGCAATGAACACTCTGTACCTCAATATAGATATACCGATTGATAAAAAATTGCCACACGTGTGCCACCTCCATGTGTATGTTTGTGTGTATGTGTATATACACATGAATAGAAATACAAAGATGAAAAACTAAAACTATATACATACATACATACGTGTGTGTGTGTGTGTGTGTGTGTGTGTCTCTACACTCTTTCCCATTCACTTTCTCTCTCTCAGAGTAAACCACTTTAAAGTAAGTGGCAGATGCAAAATAATTCATCCATAAATATTTCAGGATATTTTAACATCAAAGAACATTATTTTACATATCCACAATACCATATCACTGTCAAATATTTAACCTTAATACAATATTACATAATATATAGTCCGTATTTAGATTCCTCAGTTGTCCTAATAAAGTCATCTATGGTATTTTTTTTCCAGTACAGGAGCCAGTCAAAGACCCAGCATTGCTCTATCGCTGCAATTAATTTTAGTTTGAACATAATACCCTTCTCTTATGTCTCATAATATTGACATCTTTTAATGAGTTAAAGCCATTTTCTTTGTAGAATTTCCTACAGTATGGATTTGTCTGATTGTTTCTTTGTGAGTAAATTCAAGTTAAATGCTGTTAACAAGAATCCA